TCTCTTAAAGTGTTTCTATGTCCTCCTTTCAATGAAATTAATCTCCCTTGACTTTGATTAAGAATTGTCGATTCTTTACATTCAACAACCGTTAGTAGTAAAACTATTTAGTCCTTCAGATATTCAATAACAGTGCGAGTTTGATTTTTTTTTTTGGTGAAGTTTGAGTTTTTCAGCATTTTTTACGCCCAATTGCTAAAGTGTGAGTTTGAATCTTACTATTAATAGAACGAGTTGATGAGTAATTAATAAATATTTTTATAAGTAAGCGTTTTTTATATAATGGCTGCTCTAAACTACTACTTCTAGTTTTTAATATACAAGCTTGTTTAATTTTTATTTGGATAATCAATATAAGACTCTGATCCTCTTTATCTTTCATATTTATTCATTTTTTTCAAGATGATTATCGTAATAATAGCAGTTCTAACCAATATATTTGATTAGTAAGAATATTTTAGGAAAGAAAATATCTACTAATTACAAATAACTAACTTAACTATTTTTCTTAATCTATTCAAATTAGTCAACTAGCTCTTATATTAAATATGGGAGGTAGTATAAGAGTTAGATAATTAATTTAGAAATATTTAAAAAAATTAGTTAGGTTAATTATTTGTCATAAATATATATTGATCTCCTTAACTTATTCTCTCCAATCATATACATTGGATGATTGGAATTATCTTTTCGTGGCCATTCTTTATAATTAAGAGGGATATTTTTAAAAAAGATATTTAAGACAAAATCTAGCTCCCAACTAGCTTTTATATTACAAAAATAAGTTAGCAATAACTCATGTAGGCTTTTTTTTTGGATACTAGAGATTTAAAAATTAAATTCTGTTAATATAGTGATAAGACAATTAAAAAGATCTGCTTCTGCACACTCAAACGCATAACTTTTCAATATGGGAAGTATTAATAAGTACTGCTATTAACTTTCCTTGAAGTAGGATGGTTTATTTGTTATGATTATAGAATTCGATATTAATAAAAGAATTAATTTAAATGTTAAAATCATGAGTGAGCTACAAATTGATGAAATAATACCACAATAAACTGCGTGAAAGTTGAGTAATTGACTGAGACATTCTAATCTAAAGAGAAAAAAATTGCAATTAAAGGAAATAAATTTAGTGTTTAAGGTAAGAAATAAAAAGGCTAATGATTGACAAAAGGTTCACCTAATGATGGTTGATAAATAGGTTAATTAGTTAGCAAATTGCTTTTATCAAAAGTGAAGGATAACTAACCACATAGTAGTTGCTGTGTACCTTATCATCATTAATTATTAGTTTATTACTATCCCTAGTCTTCGAATGTTCCACCTCATCTTAGGAAATATCGAATCACTTCAATCCACCAAACCGTTGTTGATTAAGTACATAAGTTATTTGTTATAAAATAATATTAACTAGACATGTTTGTCGTAAATTACATAGAATATGATATAAGTATAAAAAAGAGCCAAGTCCTATTATTTATAAATTCTATATATTAAAGATATTAAGAAAGTTAAATAAATTATTTTAAAGTATTTATATTTATAATTTTTTTTTCTAAACTAGTTTGCTTGATTAATAAACTGATATATAATATCATGATATATAAGTCTTTTAGAGAGATAATATAATATTACTATAATTAAATAATTTATTAGTTTTATTAATTTTTTTAAATTAATTAATTGAGTCTTATTTTAAGAATTAGAAAAATTATTATAACTTGATATGTACTTTTTTTTTCTTTTTTTTAATACAAGGGAGCAAAATCAAACAAGGAGTATAAACGTGGATAATCATTACCCAATAAATCCTTATGCAGTAAATCATTATATTATACAAAAAAAATTTAATAAGTATGAAACAACATTTGAAAAACCATTGAGCAAGAGTATATATGTTCATAGAATTTAATTACAAAAAATCACAAAATACAAAATTAGTTGGCAATCAGATGGCAAAATCTCTGACATGATTTTAAAGATAACCTTGTTGATTTTTTTTTTTGGACACATGTATCGAGATACTGTTAAACACTCTTCTGATCCTTAATATAGGACTTAATTGATAAGTTAATTTTGGTCATAACATGTTTTTATATTTGTCATTTTTTTAAAATTATCCTTATAAATACTCTCTCAGCCATAATCAAATAAGTGAGGGAGGGAAGATATTAAAAAAGATGATTATGATGTTTTAAAAAAATATCATATTTCTTATAATTAATTCACTTACTTGACTTTCTTAGTCTTATATTCCTCCGATCCTTAATATATGATCTAATTATTGAGTTGATTTTAATCCTAAATATAGGATCTATTGCTCATGTTTATCAATTTTTTTAAATTACCCCTATAGATACTTCTTCAACCATAATCAAGTAAAAAAAAGAGGGAGGATATCAAAATAGATTATTATAGTATTTTAGGAAAAACATGTCATATTTATTATAATTAACTAACTTATCTAATTTTTCTAATCTAATTAAATTAATTAAATATATTTTATATTAAGAATTAGAAGAATATTAAATACGAGTATTCTTTCTAATAAGATATTGAAACTTTAATTTACTATATTATGAAGAAATAACCTATTTTACTAAACCAATTTTATTAACAACTTATTTATTCTAAGCAAGTCATGCAAAGAAAATCTGTCTTGTCTCCTTGTCAACGTGACTGCGCTTTACAGATGCATTGCCCACTTACCTTTACCTGCCAATTATTTTAAGCCCTTCTATTTTTAATTCACATTCAATATTAATAATCCCCCTCAATGCGAGTAGGTGAGAGATTGAATTCTCTCAGCTAAAATATATTTAAATTGTAAAATAAATAATTTTAAATTATTGAATTTGACACGCTCAATTGAAATAGACATTCCTTATTCTTTAAATCTAAATTGTTTTCTTAAATTATAATTTGAAAAATATTTTTATTTGGATATTTATTTATTTATTTTTACATACATGAACCGGCTTCAAATGACTATTTATATAGACTTTTCTTCATAGTTATGTTTGCTGATCATACTACTTAAATGGTACAGCTCATTAAGATTTTTATTTTATATTAATTGATATCGATGATATATGGAATAAATATGTTTTCTTATGAATTTCAAGATTCAAAGTTCAAAAAAAAAAATCAGCTTTATTGTGTATTATTATTATTATTATTTGTCAATGTTAAAAATTGCTAAAAAATTAATTACATATATCAATATATTAATATATTGACATTACTAACTATGTGATACCTTTCACTTTTTTTTTGACCAGCATATGTGATACCTTTCACTAAAGAGTACTCATTGTATTACATGCAGATACTACATATAATTGGTGCATTCAATAGCCTTGAGTTTGATAAATCACTGTTCATTCAATTAAATAATAATTAATTATTTAAATTAAAGCAATTAAGATTAAATATGAAATACATGGGTCCACCTAATTATTTAATCGACAAATAACATAAAAATCTCATCCCAATCCAACGTTAAATATTAATTATTAGTACACTGCTACACTCTATGTTTGTCAGGTTTATGTATTAAATATTTTCATTTGATCAACTATATTAAATATATATTTAATTTAAAGTTAGTACTACAAACAAAGTAAAAGGCGACGAAAACAAAAAGGTAATAATACATATAGGCCGTATTTGGTTCACGGGAAATGAAACTCAAGAAAAAGAAATCGAGGTAAAACCATAATTTCTTATGTTTGGTTAATTTGAAACGTGTTTATTTTTGTTTTCTGATAAAATCTGGATTTTTCCAGGAGGCCATTTTACATGACCAAAACACCCTTCCTCATTTTTTAAATGCCATTGTTTAATTTCTTTCTTTTTTTTTTTTTTAAAAAATGTATCTCTTCGATTGTTCAACTTCTAGGATGAGATTATTTCATGATAAGTTGGAATGTAAAGCCTCTGTGGGGGTAATAATGGCCATCATGATGGCGTGAAATGTGAAGAGCAAGTATGGAAGAGTATTTTTTTCCTTTTATTTTTAAAATTGTTTTAGGGACATCACAGTCATTTTACATTTTTGGCTTCCTTTTCCATCCGAGTTTTTTGTCATCCTAGACATATTTGAGTCACGCTACGCAGCTCAAAAAAAAAAGAAAAAAACAAAAAAGAATCATGTTACATCTAGCATTTTAAAACAATTTTTTAAAATAAATCTAACATTTTAAAATATTCTTTAGGTATATTTAGCACCCAAAAATATTTTAGTACAATTTTATACTCACTAATTTGGAGTCATAGATGCACCAAAAAATAATTTCAAATGATAGATATACCTAAAAAAATATTTTAAAATACTAGATATACTAAAATATATTTTTAAAAATATTTAAAAATATTAGATGCACTATAAAATATTTTAGTATTCTGGATACAATTGAAAACAACATACTGAGGAGCTGTTTGGGTAAAAATTAAAACATAATTTTTAAAAAAATTTTATGATATACGAAATAAATATGTAAAAAAAATTTTATCTTGTTTTATGTGAAAATATTTTTTTAAATACTTTAGAGGTTACCAAACACTCTCTTCAAACTAAACTATTTAGAGTGAAAGATGTATCAAAAAATAATCTAGCATAAGAGACGCATCTGAAAAATGTTTTAGTATACTAGATACATCAAAATATAATTGAAAAAATTATTTAGAAACATCGGATCCACTATAAAACATTTTAGAGGTGTGAAGGTGATTAAAAACACCATACTTTTAAACTTAATTTGTTTTTATTTTCATTAAAATGATTTCGTCGGACAAAAGAACCAAACGGGGCCTTAGAAGAAGTCCAAGTGTCGTCGTTTAGTTAATCTGGATCTGGCGTGTCTCTGAATTTCAGCATAAAATAAAGCGCCACCAAAACAATGAGAGGGAAACTCGGATGACAGAGAAACGGAGCCCAAAGCGAAACCAAAGCACGACGAAACCAAACAAAACTGCAAGTGAGAGCCTCCCTCATCGATAAAACCCCCCACACACTCTCTTTCCTTTCTTCTTCTTCTCCTTCTTCTTCCTCTGTCCTCCCTCCCCCCCCCCCCCCCCCCCTCTCTCGACTTGGATTCTCGTAATTCGATAGTTTGGGGTTTCCACACTCCAGGGCTTCTTTGATTCCTTGCTCTGTACCTTTTCTTCTTCGGTTCACGAGAGGCTTTGTTTGGAATGTGAAGCAGGTAAGAGGCATATGTGAAAATTTTAGTCTCTGTTTGATTACTCTGGAATCTGAGGAAAATGCATTGTATGAGAGGTAGTTATGGAGTTTGTCCTTTTGCCTGTCAATTTTCGTAGAAATGCCATGAAACCGAGGCAAATTTTTTAAAAGAAGCAGGCGAGAATCTCGTGTGACCTGTAAGCTTCTCTCCTGGATTACGCTCCTGGACACGGAGCAATGTGCGTCAAATGAGATATGAGAGGAGGTTCAGATCACGGATTAAGATATCTTTACTTTGGTTTGATTTTGCTGTAAATCAGACGGAGTTTTAACTGAAATTTTCTGATTAATTATTTCCGCTTTTTCTTTCGGCTGACTGGTGATATTTTGAGAGAAGTACGTAATGATGCCTCAAGATGTGTAATGTTGATTGGTTTTTGGTCTCCGGATTCAGGGAACTCAGAGAATGGCCATTGGTTCTAACCAGTCGAACCTTTCTTTTCAGGATTGATGAAGATACCTCGCACTGCATTCTGTTGAATTCGAAAGAGCTTGACCGTGTAAGGGAGACGAGTTGTGTAAGTTTCCTCTTCTTATTTTAAACTTACTGATTATTGATATTTGTTGGTTTGGCTTCCTCGTTTCTTAAAATCAATATTTAACGTTCGATTATGATTTGATTTTTATTTTGTTGTTTTTTCCCCGCAGTTCTTTTGAAAAGTACTGTTTCAATAATAGACCAATGGAGGTACATTACATAGATACGGGCTTTCCTTACACTGTTACTGAAAGCTTCATGGACTTCTTTGAAGGCCTCACGTATGTGCCATCGAATTGTCTCCACCCCGGCTCCGTGCCTGATCAGGTTTTACTTATATCCTTTCATTTCGTCAAGCCTCTTGAGCTCTTTCAATAAATTCTATAAATGCCCGTGGTAGAATGTGATGGGGTAAAATGTTTTGGCAAGAAGGTTTAGTTTGATACTATCCATGAGTAGTACTACCATAAATACCAAATACGGGTGAAGAGGAATGAGATGAGAAAACTACTGTTTAATCAGTTTTATGCATAATTCTTAGATGGCTGTAATATACTGATCCATGATACCAAAATATTCAGGGATTTTAGAATGCTTGAATGAGTTATGGGCTTAGGGTTATTTTGAGTGATAAAATATTCTGGTAGTTCTATCTTTCTCCCGTAAATTTTTCCTTTTTCTTCTTTCCTCCTGTTCTGTATCGGTGGCTTGTTGTAAAAAGCCAGTAATTTGTTCTTCCTAAATTGAAGTCTAGTCTCGTGAGGAGCACTCATTGTTAGGATTAGAGCGAAATTTCATCTGTATTTGACTATTAGTTAACAGTTTAGTAATCATCCGAAAGTTTCACATAGAAGCAGGAACGGTTGCTTCTTTGAGCTCAACTGCAATTGTATAGGATGATGTTGTATCAGAAGCTATTCTGTAACACAGTAATATTTCTGTCCTTATAATTGATGCCGTCTTCAGATTTGAATTGGTATCTCTTTTATAGTGTCCTGAACCACCAATGCATTGATCTGACGCTCCCAAAATTATCAAGTCATTTTGCTAGCATTAGCTCTGTTACTTCCATAATTCTAGTTGTTTTGTTCAACTGAACTTGATCATGACATCTTGTCAATTATCATATGTCGTCTTTACAGGAATGTGCCAACTGGATGATGAATATGAGCCCATATAAATATGAAATGTCTGGCCCTTTGTGTCCATCTTATTTTGGTTATCCTGAATATACCTTTCCCTTACCAAGGATGGAGGTCAACAGGGGACAGTGGGAAAGCCCTTCAACGGTGACCGTTGAGGAGCCTGCCACAACAGACTCTTTGTCCAGAAGAGATGGAGTCGCTGGCATGCAGACTATTCCTGAAGAATGTCGGTTCAAACTTATTTCATTTTTATTATATGCATGAAATAATGATCATATGGGGAAGGATTTCTGAATCTTCGCAATTTAATTATAGTCACTGAATATTATGAAAATTGTATGATAGCACCTCTCATTTTGGGTTTCTATTGCAGGCAGCCCTAATCATCAAGATTTCCGTGGTACTCAGGTAGGCATCTTTCTTGTCAATGGGGCTGACTGGGGGCTTTAAGTATTTTCTTATTTATATTTTACAGTCTCTAAGGTATGGGTACTGGGACCTTATAACTGAAAAACAGAATACAGATTACTGGTTGGCTGAGGATGGCATTGCAAACTTCCATCACCAATCATATTCTATTCACCCAGCCTTCGCACTTGTTCAAAGAAAGTATTTGTTTATCAATAAATATTTATTTGCAAACCTGTGAAATTGACATCCCTCTCAGAACTATGCAGTCAAGACTGCCTAGACTGACAGTAAGAGTACATATGGAGCTATATATGCTAGACTTATTAGGATAGCCTGGTAAAGCTTACAAGCGTTATCCATATATGCTAGTTGTAAAGCACAGTTATAATAAATTGGAAGATCATGATAATTGATAAAGCAGACACCAAAGAGGGCGGCCTTTAAATTGTTATTCCTTACTTTGACCTCTCATTATTAACAGATATTTATGACGTTTTTAAATGATTCTGCATGATGGAATTTTTACTTCTCACTGTGATTCTTATTTTCAAATCATTTTCCTCTCCTTCTATGTCTTTGCTTATTCCTGTCCTTAATCTTGATGAATTTTTTTAGCTACAAAAGGCAGTGATATTATGTCCAGGATGAATTCTTTATACCGATTTTTTATTGAGTACATTATGCTTTATAAATCGCTGTAAGCTCCAGAAACTTAGATTTAGTTTATCAGAAATAAGAGAAGGGAGATAGGGTTGCAGTTCAGTAGTTCAAGTTCTTGATTTCAGCAAGATGTCACCCCTTGCTAGTATCTGCAATTTTCAACTCGTAACCTAATAAACAAAAACAGGATCTAACATTTGCTATTAGAAACAATTGTCTAACCTTTTTGTGCACTACCTGCAGGTTGTATGGCAGCAAGACGGCATTGATCCCGATAATATGACTTATGAGGTGTGATGCAAATGCTTGTACATTTATATGGCTTCAAATTTTTTTTTCCTAAAAATTGTACGGACTTTCTTTTCAGCGATTTGATTATCATGTCCAATTTTTCGTGGTGCAATTAGATGCCATGTCACATCCTTGCAGGAGGGACATTAGGTAGATAGCATAAGAAATTTCAGGCCCCAAAGTTCTCAATTTTTCAGGAGGGTCATGTATCTTTAGCAGTTTACAGAGTCTTTTCATTGATTTTACAGTATAAATTGTTTGGGAAACTTCTCGTGCATACAAATGAAATATTTTGAAGGATGAAGATGTTAACCATTATTTTGATGTGATAGTTCTAAGCAATATAAAAATGCATATGGGTTTAGAAACAGGTTATTTCTAATAAGATGCAGGAAGTTTGTGTTAGAGGGAAGACTTCCTTTGAGAAGGTGGTTCACATTTTGAGAAATGAAGTTGATTTGACGATGGCCATTTTTTAATCTTTTAAATTTATATTGCAGGAACTACTGGACTTGGGCGAGGCAGTTGGAACTCAAAGCAGAGGCCTCTCCAAAGAACTGATTGATTTGCTTCCAGTCTCAAAATACAATTTTAGAAGCATGTTTAAAAGGAAAAATTATGGGAAAAGGTAGATTCCTGGTTCTTTTCTTTTTTCTGAATATGTGACAATGAGGGGAATGGATAATAGGAATATAGTGGTGAAAGTTATCTCGCCTTCTTTGGGAAGCTGGGTGAATATGAGCGTAACATAAAATGTGAATATTTAACCTTCAAATCTCATGCAAATTTTACCTATTAAAATTTGGAAGGAAAGTGAAGCTATTATTTGGACATGAGCTTATGTTTGTAGGCTGCACGTTTTGATTAAAATATAGAAGTTTGAGTAGCTTCTCATTTCTCTCAATTTCAATGACATCTAAGCAAGAGAGAAGAAAGATACTTGTAACTGATTTTCCCCCTTTTGTGACTCCGGGAAGATATACAAACTCCCCCTCCCACGTTTTTTTCTTTTTCTTCCCATTTGTGTCTGAGTCTATTCTCTCATTCCCAAGTTCACTATTCGGTAATGATCCAAGTGCATGAAAAACAGGTGTGTGATTTGTCAGATGACCTACAAAAGAGGTGACCAACAAATGAAATTGCCATGCACGCACGTTTACCATAGTGAATGCATCTCCAAATGGCTTAGCATTAACAAGGTCAGTCATTGATGCATTCTTTCAAGGCACACTTATCTGATGGCCAAAACAAAAGGTTACGCTTTTCTGAAGGATGGATGAATCTTCTGGGGGACTTTACTGTAAATTTTTTAAATCAAAATATAACTGGTGAATATTATTTTTTTGGGAAAAAAACATATTTTATTCTATTGACTTCCAAATGTTATAATTTTACACGGGAAAAAAATTCAACAAGTGTACCTTGTTTGTGTTCTTTGTTAAGCTGAACCTCGTTTTGTGGCATTCTTTTTCAGAAGTGCCCAGTTTGCAACACTGAGGTGTTTGGAGAGCATTCAAGGAATCGGCATTAAGATGTTGAAAACAGAAGAAATCCGGAGGTTTTATCAACTCTGTTAACCTCCCCCCCCCCCTTTCTTCCTTCCACCTTGATTTTGCTCCTTTTTTTGCAGTAGCAATCTGATTACACGTAGTTAGGAACACTAGAAAGAACTCAGCGGCTACATGTTATGTAATAAGTGTTCTCTAGAAACATCCATAACAGTCGTCAGTCGCATCTTCTGGTAGCTAATGAAATTTGAGTTATGTAACCGTGTCTTGTGTTCTTTTATTCCTCAGATTCTCCCTCCTTGCTCCAGGTCTCTTCACATTGATTCCATGTGCATATAATATTTGGGGATATATGCATGTGCTTAATACTATGGCCAAAAGAGAAAAGACTAAAGGGGTGTTTCCAAACTATAGTTTCAAAAGTGCTTTTACGGTTTATGAAGTAAATATGTAAAGAAGTTTGTTTTGTTTTGCGGAAAAGTGCTTCTGAGAAGCACTTTTTAATATTGCCAAACACCCCCTAAGTCTCCTTAACTTCTTTTGAAATTTAGTTAAATTACACATGAGGATGCCAGTTTCAAGTTTCAGGAAACGAAACATGAATTAAGTTTAGAATTTAAGTTACTCTGTGATTATTACAAATTACAAATGGTTCAATAATAGTTGGTCTGAAAGATTTATTTGCAGTATATGGATTTAGTTGCTGTAAACGTGAAGCGATATCTTCTGCGTCATTTGTACTAGGTATTTGGGAAGACACCAACGTTTGGCTACAAACTATTTTATTAGGAAGGCTGACTACGCTTCCAGTCTGTTATCTTCACATAATTTCATTTTCCTAAAACCAGGCATGGACCGTAAATGAAAATAGCTTAGGTAATTATGCGTTTACTTACGTTAGTTTTTTTTTTTTAAAACCAAAATTGGGGCATCTAGATTTTTTAACATATCATTTACCATGCGATTAGCTCTTGGCATTAACACTTCTAATTCACATTTTAACCTGAAATTTACTTACTGTAATTTAATTTTGAAAAATTATATATAGTATATAAGTTTTTTTCTAAATGCCACGTTTTCTCCTTTAATTGTAAGCAAATTATATTAAGAGCTTAGTTAAATTATTTTTTTTACCATTTGACTTTTTGACCTTTGACATACAATGCCCGAATTGTCTTTTAATAGAGATTTTTCTTACACAATACACAATTTTTAAATTGAAGTTGTTTAGTTTTTAACTGTTGTATAAGAATAAAATTATATTTTTACATAATAAATATCAATTTCGTTTATAAAAATCTATTCACATTAAAAGACCAAAAATATTAACACCATAAAAACCTTTCATTTAAATAATAAACATAATGAATAAGCTCATGGGGATAAATTTATTACTTAACTGACTTGACTTGTGCGAAGTTTTTAATTACCTTTTTTTTCTCTTTTGCCAACGTTGCGTATATGAAGTTTATGCAAGTGTACATAAGTATTTCTAAACGGTGGCAAAAAAAAAAAGTATTTCTAAAATATAATAATTTTTGTGCTACTTCCTATGTGAAAATAAAAACTTGTGTGTGCGCATTACTTTCTTTTTTATTTCACATGCACTATAAGAGCACGATCCGGGTGCAGCATTCCTAAAATAAATCCGAGCGCACCAGAAGAAAACTCAGCTGCAAGTCAATGACGGACGAGTCTCTAACGGTCAGAGAATTTAGTAACACCTATTTTCCCCAACGTTCACTACTTCACTCTCCACCTTCCTCGATCCCATAACGGCTACATCTACACCTTCCTTCTCTCTCCCATTCTTCCACTCCTCATTTTCTGAACTTCGCTCTCTGCAGCCCCCCGCTTCCCCATTTTCTGGGTCTCCTTCATATCCCTCCCTCTTTCTCTCACTCTCTTCCTCCCCTTTGTGTGAGTAATGGAACCTGCGAAGATTGACTGGAAGAGATTGGAATGGCACTTTGTAGAAGACGAAAAATACGAGCACATTAACGCACCAAAATGGGTCGATTTCTTGGCCCCAGACAAATCCGTGGACGATGAGGACTGGTTTTGCAGACCCGGTTAGAATTTGCGTCTCTTCTATGATTCATTTACACTATTTTCTCACCTGGGTTTCTTAAATTTTGCTTCTTTAATGGTTCTTGGTAATGGTCATTTCAGATTGCAAGCATCCCAAGACGGTGGACGATTTTCTCAGATCGACTCCTTCAAAGGTTCCATTCTTATTTGCTTGTGTTTTTCAGACCCTTGTATCAAGAAACTCAAGAACATTAAGATTTAACAATCTCGAGCTAGCCAGATCAGATAAACTCTTACGATATTAGTATATGACTTGCTAATTATGTTTTCAAAGCCTTTTGCCAAATTTCTGAGGTGTGGGTTCTGATCCTTGGCCTATATAATGCTCTTTTTAACTTTTTTCTTGCTCATTTTTTTTTTTTTAAAATTTCTTGAAGCTTTTGAGCTCGGCTGATTCCCCAGGACTTCTTCCATTGAGTGACCAAAACAGGAGGTACTTATCAAGATCCCTTTTGCCCCCTTTTAATGGTATTGTAAGCTCTGTGTATTATAGAATATAGAATTTCAGTGACTAAGTTTCATATATTGGATCTTGGTATAGAGATCAGAAGTTAAAGAGAAGGGTGCCCCCCCTATCTTCGGCTTCCCCTGATGGTAAGCTCAAATTCAACCAAGACAGTGAGAACCAAAACCCAAACCTGGTGACACCACCAAGTAATCTATTCAAATCAATGAAGGCATCAATCAAGTCAAGTGAAGAGAAAAAGAAACTCATTCATGACACATCACAGAACAGCAAGGTGCCTTCACTGAGATCCACACTCTCAGCGAAGAATTTGTTTGCAGGGCGGCCAATCTTGAGCCAAATCACCGAATTCTGTAATGAACTGAAGAAATTGGCAACAAGAGCTACAGAGAGAGAGAATGATGAAAATATGAGTGAGGTGAAAAGTGAAGAGGGCGAGGAGAATCAAAAAACAAAGACAGGGCCTCCACCTGTTCAGCCTTTAGAACAGTCAGTTAAGGAAGAGAAAGAAAGGAAGCCGCTGCTTGAAGTGACAAAAAAATCTGAGGAAAGCAGCAATAAACCGAAGCTGCAGAGAAAGAAGTAAGCTTAATATCCTTCTGTATCCATATGCATGTGCTTACTCAGTATCTATGAAACATTAACACAAACATGTTGGCATTTGCATCACATATAAATCTCAGCTTTTTCAGCTCTTTTTTCCCATGTAGTAATCAACTTCCATGAAAAACACTATTCAGGTTTGTGGTTGCTTTTTAGGTTAGGACAGTGGCTGCAAAATACATTGACTCTAACAAAGACACGTGGCATAATCATCACTTGTAAATCTTAATCTTTTTTACCTTCCCTTTAGTGATCTACTTCCAGAGAAAAACACTAGTCGGATTTGTCCATGCCTTTTAGCTTAGTGCAGTGACTGCAAAATGCTCTATAGTTTCATTTCGCTTTGTATCTATATCCTTAGGTTTACTTGGTATCCATTAAACATTGACCATTAACAGAGATAAGCAGCTTTAGTATAAGTTGTTAATCTCAAATTTTTGAGCTTTCCATTTAGTGATATCCTTTCGTTGAAAAACGTCGTTGAGGCTTGTACCTGCCTTGTAGCTTAGTACGTATTTGGACTGCAAAATTCTCTGTAGTTTCCAGTAGTTACTACTGTTTAAAACATATATATTGATCTGATGAAAGGAATAACAAAATCTCCATTGATTGGTTGTACTCATCTTCAATCGAGCAAGACAGATAGAATTACTTTCATGCCCGACTGTTTAGGCTTCTTATATTATATAAACATGGTTGTACGTCAATCAAAAGATTGTGACTGTGAACTATTGCAAGTTATTATATTCTGTTAATCATTCGTTTATTATTCTATTCTGCAGAAGAGCGGATGAGACTGAAAATATGCCTATTCTGCTGGACTTGGAGAATGTGAGACGCAAGAAAGATGAGAATTTACTGCAAATTCGCACAAACCCTCCCTCTCCTCAGTGCTTCTCTGCCACTCGTGATCGTGATCCAAATAAAACTACCCCTTCAAAGGCTTCCAAATCCAGATTAAGGGTGTGTAGCTAACTGCAATTTATTACCGTACACATATATTACCTGCTAGTGTACAGGCACCACATGCTTTCTTTTCCCAGTTGCCGATCTGGACTTGCATTTTTACTGTTCTATAACTAAATGTTATCACCGATGTACTTAAAATCTTGCAGGAGAGAGGTGTTCTTCAAGCGGTTGTGCAAAAGGAGGAGGAATTTCCTGAGAACAATAGCCAAGACATGTCAGTAGCTGATGGAAAGGAAGCAAGAGCTTTGGACGTGTTCTGGTTCTTGAAGCCTTGCACATTATCCAGCTAGCTAACTGAGACAAGCCCGGGAAAATTGCTATACTTGATTCTTTTATTCTTTATATATCTCTAGAACACAGAGTCCTGCAGAAAACCACACTAGTTTATTTAGGTTCATAGTCATTCTTTTATTATTGTATCTTCTTACTTCCATATTCTACAAAGTGATAAGAGGAACCTGAAACTTAAGGATTCATCAATACTTGTATTAAACCAAAGACTTGGGAATAAAATGTTGTATCTGCCCCTTTCTTCTCTCTTTCCCCCCCACTTTTTTACCCATCTTGGCAATTATTGTGCTTTCTGGGATTGAAGCTATAAAAAAGCATGAGTAGAAGATGATGATGGATGTTAAGCAGCCCGTCAAAACAGCAAATTAAATACAAAATATTACAATAAAATTTGTTAAGAAAATAGTTGTTTTTCAACTCTGGTCAGAGACAATCCAGTACATCTATATAGATCCAATTTTTGTTTTGCCAATTATATAGATCCAAATTGAACCATATTATTTATAACTTTGCGAACTTGTAACTGTTTATGGTTTATGAATTTTACATTGATCATACTTGCCAGAAAAACCCCTATATGATATACCCAGTCAAAACATGTCTATCCATTAAAAAAGTTGAAATGTAAGAGGTACTAGCTAAGTCAAGAAATTACCGTCCCTAAACTATAGCCTCAGATAAATTTTATTTTATGTATGGATGGTGACTTGATCTCAAAACTGATGAGTCTGGTATAATTTAAGCATGGAAAGAAAAACAAGGGAAAATATGAGAATAGAAAGGAACTTGTCTGTCTACTCAAAAAAAAAAAAGGCCAAAAAAGTGTCTACTCAAAAAAAAAAAAAAACTTGTAT